GGATTGGGATAAGAGTTGTACGAGCCCCCAATAAAATGCTTAAATAAAAAAAAGTTCCCCAGGCTGTAAAGCCTTCCAGGAGCAGACAGCCTCATCTTTTCCCCTTGGAGCTGCTGGTGAGTTTGAACTGAGAGCTTTGCAGTTGTCAGTCCGATGCTTCCCCATGGTGTCACCAGGGCTCCTCACTCACATAAAGGTCCACATAAAAGTTTGGGAACAAATTTACTTATATACTCTCATTCAAAACCAAATTAACTTTTACATTTTTTTAAAGTTGCCAAATATCGATAGATATTTCTTTTGGGAAACAGTTTTTCAAATTATCGCATGAAATGTTCATAGGCAATTCATTAGAAACTCATTAATATGATTTGTGGTACTATATCTGAAAATGCACATTTATTTTAAATCTCACTGCCATCAAGTCATGCTGACTCATGGTGACCCTATAGGACAGGGTAGAACTGCCCATATGGATTTCTGAGTCTTTTTAAAAATTTTTATTTCTGAGTCTTAATGGGAGTAGAAGGCCTCTTTCTCCCATGGAGCGACAGGTAGTTTCAAACTGGTGACCTTGAGGCTATCTGTCCAATTAGCCCAATGCATAACCACTAAGCCACCAGGGCTCCAATTGTCTACAAGAAAAAAGAGACAAAGGAGTGATTAGGGACTGTATCTGATTTGGAAAATTATTTGCTTGTTCTTAAATGTGATTGTCTTTGTGAGAAAATGATATCCACATTTACTATACTTTAATGTACTAAAACATTCACCTATTGAGGTTCTGTATTTTTTTAACATGAGCAATATGATAGTAAATATCATGGAATATATGCATTGATGTGATTTTTTTGGGAGGATTGATTCCAGTAAGTGATCATGTAGGTGGGGTCAAATGGGGTCAAATATATTTAAAACACTGATTGATATTATGACTCTGTTACTTCCTATGGGGCTGTCACCACGCACGTGTCCACTGGCAGTGCTTCCTGGGTGGCTGTGTCTTTGTCACTGCCCTGGACACTCCTGCTGTTCAGGTTGTGTCCAGCAGATGGGTGAGAAGTGGCATCTAATTACTTTAGTTTGCCTTTCCCAGGCTCCTGGTGAAATTGAGCATCTTTTCAAACATTTATCGAGTGTTTGCAATTCCTCTTCTATATGTTGCCCGATCCTGTTCTCTGACTTTGTACGTGTACTGCTGTTTGTCTCTTTCAAATAGGGTTTGGTGGTGTCCTCGCTTCTCAGGAATCTTAACTCTTTGTCATAGGAATTGTAGATACTTCCTCCCATCGGGGAGAAAATATTTTCTCTCTTTTGAGTTGATGAATGCATTTCAATGTCACAGAATCAGGATTTTGATCTGGTTCCTTGATTGTCTAGCTGTATGATTTTGGGTTTCTTTAACCTCACAGAGCCTTGCCATTAAGAGCAAAAAACAAAACAAAGCTATTTCCAATGAGTGGACTGCAGCTCGTCTGAACCTATAGAACAGAGTAGAACGTCCCTGTATGTTTCCCAAGGCTTTTGTCCTCTTGACAAAGGCAGACTGACACATCTTTTTCCTGAGAGCAGCGGGTGTGTTAGAACTGTCAACTTTGGGATTCATAGCTGAGTGCTTGGTCACTGCGTCACCAGGCTCCTCCTTAGAGCTTATGTCCACCCAGGGGTGTTGCGGCCATTCAAATGCATAATGATTCCATCGGAAAGGAGAACGGCCCCAAGCGGTCTCCATCCTCTGTACAGCTCTACCAGATGATCTATCTCATCTTTCTCCTGCAGAGTGGCTGGTGGGTTTGAACCACTGACCTTCTGGTTAGCAGTCCAGTACTTAACTCACTGTGCTATCGCAGCACATTTTTTCAGAGCCTGCATGGCCTCTAAACAAATCATAGTACCTGATTTTAAAAGGGTGTTGGTGCGTTTGAATGAGCTGACTCCCCGCTCTGGACCTCAGCTGCTGCTTTGTGAGGGAGTTGGATTGAATGACCTTGATTGTTACTTTTCATAGTGACTTCTGAGGATATGAAGTCTCCGGCTGATGCTTGTATTAAAGGATGTGGCTTGTCATTTTATGCCTGCCCTGTGGGGGATATTGTCTTGGGATGGGAATAAGTATATTTCAGTACGTGAAGACTAGCATGATGACCGCCCCACCCCAACCCTGCTAATTCACCTGCATCCCCTTGTGCCTGTTCTCATGTATTCATGTTCTTCTCAGACCTCATCCAGACATGCACATCATCTTTACATGGTTGAATCATAGCCAGACTGCAACTTTACATTGTTCCCCCTACACACACACTCACTCTTAAGTGTTTCATCAAACCTATTAAAGACCCATGGTGGTGGTGGTGGTAGATGACATCAAGTAGGTTCCAAACCATAGTGACACGGTGCACAACAGAACAAAACACTGCATGGTCCAGTGCCATCCTTACAAGGGTTCCGATGCCAGAGCCCACTGTTACAGCCACTGTGTGATCCATCTCATTGAGGGACTTGCTCTTTTTCACTGCCTCTCCACTTTACCAAACATGATGCCCTTCTCCAGGGACTGGACTCTCTTGACAATTTGTCCCAAATATACAAGATGAAGTCTTGCCACCCTGGCCTCTATGGAGTACACTGGCTGTATTTCATCCAAGACAGATTTGTCTGTCCTTGTAGCGTCCATGGGACATTCGGTGTTCTTTGTCAGCACCACAATTCAAAGGCATCCATTCTCCTACGGTCTTCCCTGGTCAGTGGCCAACTTTCACATGCATATGTGCTATGGTGGTGGCAGTGTTTTGTTTTGGTTTTGCTTTGTTTAGTGGCACTGTCAAATAAACATCGGACTATTAACTAACAGGTCTGCGGTTCAAAACCTACCAGCTTGCTCCAAGAGAGAAAGATGAAGCTTTAGGCTCCTGCAATGATTTATAGCCTCAGAAATGTTGTATAGGGTGGCCAGGAGTCTGAACTGACCTGAGACCCAGACTATGACCTTGAGTCTATCCCACCTGGATTTGGAGACCATCCCCAAGATTGAATGCATTGAACACTAATGACTGAATGCCGGAGAAGCTGAGGAGGACGCTGAAGGCATCATAAAGAAAGACAAAGATCACTGTCAAAGAGACAGGAAGGAAAGAAGACCAAAATGGATATACAAAGAGACCCTGAGGCTTGCTCTTGAACACAGAAAACTGAGCGAATGGAGGAAATTATGACGGGAAAGAGCGGAACAGAACACTCCCAGGATGACCTCAGAAGACAAGCGGAAACAATGCAAGGAACCGTGCTAAGGC